CGGCGCTGCTATCTTCTTTCCCTCAATCCCTCTGCTCTAGCTGCGATACCAGCAGTGAGGACGGGCGACGGTTTTTCCCTTTTCGGGAAGTGTGTGTGTGCGGTGCTGGCGTTGCGTCGGCCACCGAGCAACCAGTCCACCACGCCGGGCACGTGAAGCTTTCGTCGTTCGTCTGATTCAAGACGTCGGTGAGTTTGGGTCCCGCAGTGGGGACTTTCCTTTATCGGAATTTTCGTCTTCTTTGCACCGGCGAACTTGTTTCCCGGCTGCAGTTTGTGTCGCGAGCGGTGAGTTGTTTGGCGTTGTGTCGGAAATTATGTGCTGTCTTGTTTTTTTTTTTTAATTTTTTTTTATTTTTTTGCGGCCCCGCTGCCCGAAGGTTCGTGAGTGTGTTGTTGGAGTAACGCGTGTTAGCATTTCGTTTTGATGGCTTTGTCGTGTTCCCACCGTGCGCGGCATTTTATTGCCTAATTAAATTTCTTGTTTTTCGTTTAACCCCTGCGTGCCCTCGCCTCTGTTGATTTTCACATCGGACGTGTACCTAACGCTGGTCACCAGTCCGGCAATAAAATAGCATATGTGTAAACGCTCTGTTTTATAGTCCAGGTGCTTTTGTTTTTACGTTGGCGGGCGAATTTTCGGTATAACATGTACATACTTGAACCCTCCACTTGAAAGAAAATGTGTTACTTTCATTTCTCGCTAGTTGGCGCGAGCCACCGCCCCACTCTTGCGGATATTTTTTATCGTCCACTCGTTCATGTTTTGCCCTTGCAGTGACCGCACCGAGCGCGTCGCACGGCGGGATGCTTCGCGTTCGCCTGGTAGTGCGTCATGTGGTGCACCTACGCAGTGGTGTTTACTTGGGGGCGGCATTTTCTCGGTGCCGTGCGCGCCCCAGACGAATGTGACAGAAGTATAACCGCGAGGTTACTGTCCCGCGCATTTAGGAATTAAGCAGTGCAAGTGCTGACATGAGATTGTTCGGACGTCCTTACAGCCGAGTAACGAAGTTAAAAAGTACTTATACTGCTACCCCTGTTAAAAAAAAAAAAAAAGTGTCGCCGTCATCCCGACATCCATAGCCTCTTCAGCAATTTGAAGAAAGTAGCCACTCATATCGATGCGCCATTTCTGTTCTCAACCTCTTGCAAGTTTCGAAGCCTTTGCCCAAGAACTAATAACTAGAGAGAAGCGAGTTACGCATGCAACAAGAGGCGTTGAGTTGACATTGTGGGAAGAAATAGAAACCCACTCGCACTCGAATTGCAATAGTCCCTTGTCATCAAGGACAAGAGGGAAAAATGTGTCCGCGCTCCTTCAGTTGCACTCCGCCAGAAAAAGGAAGCGTTCCTGCGGGGTGGCCAGGGTGTCCGGGCAAGGATAGAAGAAAGAAGAAACCGCAACTACCTCATCCCCAAAAAAGCAGAAATTGAAAAGCGGCTTAAAAAATAGAAACATATGAATTAAGCGATAAAAAAATAAAAAGAGAAATTATTTTTCACTCGACAAGATAAAAATAAAAATAGGAACATTAAACAGTTGTAAGTCCAGCAGTGTGAATGGTGTTTTTTGTGCGTGGTGTGATCTTTGTGCAGATGGCCCATCGAAAGCATTTCAACAAATACGTGGGATGCGCCACGTCGGTGGTTTATCAGATTCCGACAACGTGTGGGCGCGTTTACATTGGCCAAACCGGCAGATGCCTGAAGGGTAGAGCAAGAGAACATGACCTTTCAAGAAAGCGAACACCGCCAGGCCACTTGGCGGTGCACTGCCCTGCACAAAGGTTGCTGCCAGTCAAAGCTCTAAACAAAAAAACAACAAAAAAAGAATTTTATGTTTTTCGGCTTTTTGCAGCGTACTTTGTCCAGCTGCTTGCGCTCAATTTCACTTCCTCCTCGTGTCGCCCAGCAAAGGTTTCGGGCAGCGTATTACACGGTTCCGGGTTGGATTTCTACTGAGCCGCTAGATAAATTTATCTCGTTACGATTAGGTATTCCTAGGTATAATTTTGTATGACCATGTATGATGGGCATCTTCTATATCATGATATACTTTGTGTATGCGTTATGTTGCCTTGGCATTCATGTAATTCTTGTTAGTCACTCTCAAGTGTAACTCTTTTAAAATGAATTCAACCTATAAAAAAAACGTAAAACCAAAACAAGTCAAAGGGGAATTTCGGCTATTTTTTCATGGACGCTGATTTGCCTAAAAATTGGCTCAACACATCGATAGACAAGGCTGTACAAGTTCCCCAACTATTGTGTTAAAAGAAAAACATTTCGCGAAATTATTGCATTTTCGAATTTAGTTTTCATCGTATTTCTCAAACCGGGAGCCCTTACTGGCAGCATTGAATTGTGACGACAGAAATGGTACAAAGTAGGCAGCAAGCCATGTTCCCAACTAATTACAAGACGTTTGATGGTGGGAAAAGAGTGCTTGGTAACTGATTCATTGAGAAGCACGCAAAAAACGCTCGACATACTCTGGTTAAGATTACCTGCGCGACCCGAAAGTCTGCACCATTTCGGACGTCACAGCACTGGAGAGCGCGCGGAAATTTGAATCTTGGCTTCTGCATCATCTTCTTTTACGGTTTTCTGACTTTCTATTTTGAATTTCGAAAAACAAAAAATAAATAGCATACCGTGAAGACTAACGTCCGGGTAGTTAGGAAACGCAATTCCTTTTGGGTAGGTAAAAAAACGACCAGAGTACCGCACTAAGGTGGAAAACTAATGACGGTGATTCCGGGGGCTGCTGTAATTCTCCTGGAATGTTTTACTATAGCAGCAAAACACCCTATAAGTTTGCCTTTTTCTAATCAAGGCATTTTTGATGTTTTGGTGATCTCATAAATTGAGTGATGTGAATTATATTGTCTTTGTTACGGACAATGTGCGTTCAGCTTATTACATTGTACCAACAAGAATACCGCCCTGGACACCACTTTGCGGCAAGCGGATTGAGATGCACATAATTTATGAACGTTTTGAGAGAAAAAAAGTTCCCTCATCGCGCGAGCTCTACACGTTCGAAGGCTACCGGTATGGCTGCCGACGTTCTATTTTCACAGCTTCTATTTTTTTAATACATAAGAAATTCATGTGCAACAGAATCCTCTTGCTACATACAGCTTCTAAATTATTCGCAGTTCTATGTCGCAATTGGGGGAAGAAAGAGAGTGAGGGGATCCACGGGCGGCTGTTTCTTGACCGGCAGTTACTTAGAGGCCTCATTTGTATAAAAGTCAGTGTGTATCAGTTTATATAAACCAGGGTGTCGAACCGGAACCGAACCCAACCGAAAACCGGAACCGAACCGGTATTTTTTCCGGAACCGAACCCGAACTCGAACCGTTATATTGTTATCGCGATGAACCCGAACCGGAATTCAACCGGAAGAAAAATAACGGTTACCGGCTCATGTCAAAACGGTTCAGCCACGCGCTGTTGACAATGAATGTGCTATCAATGCCATTTGTTTTTTAAGTGCCGTCAACTGACACACACCTCGTTCACATATTTTTCTTCTCCACTCAATCTTAGGAATATAAACGCTGCATCCATGAATCTTGACATAGGAACCAGTATTACGCTGGTCGCGGCTTGCACGGAAAAAAAAATTAAAAGGCTCTGCAAAAAAAAAAAAAAAAAAAATCGCGTCACGGGATTTTATTTTTTTACAATCTCGTAAATCCTAAATGCTGCTGTGTGCTCATTTCATAACACGTTTCTAGAACGCGCGAGTTCTTGAAGCTTGCTTCCATCGGAATGAGAAAAGAAAAGGCTGTGGAGTTTGATAATAATGCATCCGGTTTCGTATAGCACTTAGAAGCTAACATATTTGTGAGACAGCGAACTCTTCTATTTTAACATTTATCCTATTACGTCCTTCTGGCGTTGCGTTCGGTGAAGTGTTTTTCATATTCCATATCTTGTTTAATGAAAACTTCTTTAAGGGTCTAATTTGAGTTACCGAAGGCTAGTTCAATTAAAAAAAGCTGTATTTTCTCCCCACTGTTCCTTCAATTGCTTACACGCCGAGGTGGCGGGATAGTTAGCGAGTTCTACTTGTAAGTGGGTTTGTAAGGAGGTCGCGGATTTTACAGCTACTGCGTCGGACCCAATTAGATGAAGTCCGAATGCATAAACGTCGGTGAGATAACCTTTGAGTGCAGATAAAGGAACCATTCCTGGTAGAAATCCCTGAGCCTTACACTACGATGTATCCCGTTTCGTATGTGCTGATTTCAGATGTTTCATTTGTAATTTATTTTGATGTTGCAATTTGTAATTTATAATTTCCGAACCGGTTCGCGGATCGAATTAATCGAACTTGAACTGAACCGGAACAAAATTAATTTACCTGAACCTGAACCGTAACCGAACCCGTATTTTTTCCGGTTCGACACACTGATATAAACGCATTTTATTCTTCAGGTGTCGTCGAAGAAATCACCTGGTAGACCGCAATATACGTATACCTATAAGATAAAACATAAAAAAGACTCGTGTTATCAGTTGCATTTTTAAGATACTTAGCGGGCTGCTCCTGCGTCGCAAAGAATAGCGCAGCTATAGTCACGGACAAGATGAAAACGGCAATTATAGTCACTGACAAGGTGAGAAGTCCTCTAGCACGAACTTTCTCCGTGCACCCTTAGCGCACATAAAGCCAAAGCACGATAGAACGTGGTTAAAATAGCGCACACATAGAAAGGAACAGAGAAGAGAGAAGAGACAAGCGCAGACATGTTCAATCATTACCAACTCGTCCAACTAACCACTTTATAGAAGGCATGGAGCTCCTGCTGGAGACTCTGCGTTGGAAAGACACGCTCTTTTGTTCTCAATCTGTGAGTGACTATAAAAAGCAAGTAAGTTTCTCTCATTTGTACTTCCAAACAAAAACCAAAATTCGCCCTGGAAAAAAAAAAAAAAAAAAAAAGTTGGTATTTTTGGGGTTCTATCTCTGCATTGGAAACTTACAATTTGGTCGACTCTTGTTCCGTCAACGTTTTCCCTAAACACAATATTTTCCGAGAGTATTGAAGTCTTTTGTAGCCTTAGAACAATATCGTCTTGAATGTACAGCATCTTTTCAGCATCGAGTCCTCTTGCCTCAAGAAGCCTTGGATAGACGACTATGCCAGGCGAAGGAGCTGTGTTTGGCATAAAAGCGTATTTCATTAGTATTAAGTGCTCTGCCAGTATATATCTTCGTTGCATTCTAATTTCGGAAGTGTTAAAATCAAAATTAGTGTAATTTTCACAAAGTGCTCAAAAGTACCGTTTCTTTTTTTATAAATCTGTTACTGATTTTTGTAGCTGAATAACTGTTTAATACTATTTGTATCTCTCATGCATCGAAAGTCAAAATAGTCCCTACATGAGACAACAAACATAAGTCTACAGGTGTTTGCACATTTTTCAAGGGTGATGCAAATCATAAAATAGGCAACACCTAAGAATACATCCGGTATGATTTGTTCCAGTACTTTTAGTACTGAGATAAGAATGACCGCCGCACCGCAAAGCCCTTGATGGACAGGTCTTCGTTTCGAGCTATTATTCGTCTACGAATGACAAGGCACAACCTTTTAAAGTTTGCTCCTAAAATTACACGGAGCTGGATCCCAGATATGTGTGGTATTTAAGATAGTGCATCGCAAAACTCCGCTCAGGAAACTGTACGTTCTTTCTTTTCTGAAACATGCATTTCACTTAAACAAATGGACGGGTTGTCATGAAAACAAGATAATAGCAACTCGAATGCTACAGGAATATTCTTGGTGAGAGCCCTCTGGGCGACGTACTAGAACTCAGTTGGGAAACTGCCATAGAATCCTGCTCTGAAAAAGCGGTTCCAGTCCGTAATCGAGAACCGAACTAAATGCGATCCTAACACCGCCATTTCTTCTGCAGCGGCCGCTCCGAGAACTTCATGGCTGTAGGCATCGGTTCAGGTCTGGTCGTGCAAGGGCCGGTGGAGCCGTCTCGCAGTAGCTATATAAAGCAACTCGCCGCTAAAGGACGCCACTGTAATTGTATTTAGTTTGGACTCGGTAACGCGAGCAGCCCCGGTTTCAAGGGCGAGTTTCCCTACTGAGTGTTTTAATGACTCTGCCTTTGTGGTAACTCGCGATTGTCTTTTGTCACTTCGAATATTCCTTCGAAAAACTTGTGTGGCCCGCTTCGATATGGCTATTCATGCACGGATCCCAATGTTTCTAAATGGGAAGTCACTGACAGCCTATGAAACGCAGGGCTTGGCATATTATGTCCACGCTTCTCGCCTCGTGAATGGTTCTCCTGCGTATTTATCGGCTAATGCAGACATCTGATTGGCTGCGGAGAGATGACGAGATGCTCCAGATTCGCCACGCTCTGCGTTTCTTAAGCCAACCGTGACTATAGCGTGACAGTAATCTAGTTGGATGTCGTTGCGAAGCATCAGAAACAAAGGGAAAAATGGGAAGACGCCATATTAATTGCCGACATTTGCTTCGTCATGAGGTGCCAGTTTTGGCTACCTGTTAATGTGGTGAATTCTAACTGACTCCATGGTGGCAAGGTGCCCGGTTTTCGAACAAGGCGCTTACATTAAATACGTTTTGATGTTCTCAGTATTTGTGGCACCTACAATCGGCGGGCGTGTGAGTCTAGGCTGGGTATCGAAACAACAACGGACCAATTGTTCGAGGAAGTTAAACTACGTTTTGCATTAGTAAGTGAACGCAAGGGGTGAGGTGTTGTCGTGACTACTAGGACACGCACTTACCAGAGTCGGTGACGCGTATAAGCAGCCCTGAGAGGAGCGCGCACTGAAAGATTGCAAACATCTTCTTAAAGTATTTGCTGAATGCAGATCGTCAATCCAGTAAGTGTTATATATATAGACATACTAGACCGTGAAACGCGTTTATTTCATCGCCATCTTTAAACGAATAGCAGGTGCGTACGTAGGGTGGCTGACATCTGTTTACGTCACGCACCTCTAGATCTTTTCGAAACGGTTATGACGTCAGTAAAAAGAGCGTGGATGCGTTCTGCGATGTGACGTCTAGAAACGGCACATGGAGCAGCGCACCTTTAACAAAAGCAATACAGTGAAAGTGCGTAAATTCCGTGATTTTCTAAAACTGAGAAATACGCTGAAAGTGAATGGCTATATTGTTGTAACGCGTGTGAAAACGATACGTTAAAATTTGCGTCCCTTTTTCGTGATGTGGGCATTGACGACTGACGTCATTAGGTTGTCGTATCTGCCTCAATGCTCTTTGTGTAGTCGTTCCTCCTGTTGTGTTTTCTGTTGTTGATTTCAAGCTGCAACGTAGCGCAGCTGGAAAGAAAGGGTTCTGCCACGAGAAAGGTCCAGGGACCGGTTACAACTTATATCATTAGTGGACTGTAATGTAAGTTCAATATTGGAAGAATGCATTTAATTCAATTTAAGTATATATTTCGTGTTTAGTTGAACGGAGCGCGTGTGTACGATCTCTTCTGTTGCTGTCCGCTCAGTCATGGTGGACTAGAGCAGGTGTAGCGATCGCTCGCTTCTCTCGGAATTCGAGAGCGTTCCCGGACTTCCTACCTTAGCGGCATGGTCAGCAGTGTATCACCTGAAGGGTGATAGCAACGTCGCAACAACACTCCGCGCTGCATCGGCGATTGCGAGATATTCTCGCCTTTCTACGCTCGCCCGCATGCTCTTGCCCGCTCAGGCGATCGACCAAGGTGTCAAGGCTCGGCAAAGGGAGCATCTGCGACCACTACAACACCTGTTTCTTCGTAGTCGTTTTGACCTCAAGAACCAGAACCACACTAAAAAAACATTCGGCTCCCCGCGGAGCATTACTATCTTGCTCCTTGATGTGGATAATTAAGGTACATGTAAGTGTGTTTTAGAGCTGTTATCTTACGAAGACGTACAGGTTTAAAACTCCAAGAGCATCGACTCTTCCTTCCACAACAAAAGCTTGTAAGAACTAATTCGTGCGGTGTATATACAATGTGCAAAACAAAATTTGTTTCGATGTGAGTAGTATAGTAGTATAAAGCGGCGCTGCTGCCCCATCATGGGGGTATTACCAAATACGATATCCTCTGAAAACTTGTACACGTTTGGAAGTCCGGCCTCAGGGCGCCGCTATCTTCCTCAGTGGGGTGCGCTCGATGGCAGCGCCCTGAAGCCGGACTCGCAAACGTGTATACACCAACTCATGTTTACAAACAAACCGGAGCGCCCCTAGCGGACGTCACCGGCGCCGCGCATGCGCCGTGGATGGTGGGCAAGAAGCCCGCCGTCGCCCATAAACAAACCATTGAATTGCGTTGTTGTCGGCGTCGGTGGGAGTCCCCGTGCTCTTTTTCGCGTTGGAATTGCTGATTCTACGTCCTCCTAACAATGTCTGACTACTTGAGCGGCTTCAGCAAAACTATCGAGGCAAAACTTTGCGTGAATAATGTGACTTGCGGCGATTCATTTCACGTGGACGCCGCAGAATGGGCGCTAAAGCCTGACTCCGACGTCGAGATTCTGCTCGCTATTTTCAATCGCGACGTCGCTCGGACTGCAAAAGCGTGGACCGTAGCTGAGATGGTGGACATCGATACTGAAAACCTCAAGTAGAATCGGGCATTACAAGTCGGTGATGGCCGCTGGTAACAATGATCAACAACTTCTTGTATCTGTTTACACCTAGCCGACTTACCCCAACCAACCTTCAAAAGTGTTTTGAGGCCTGCACTTAGTTCTTATTGCAATTACCGGGTCAATGTTTGGTTTACGAGCCGCTGTCGTTTGAACGAACTGACGACAAAAAGCAGCCAAGTTTGAAAGAGCAGACGACAGTTGGAACGCACGCGCAATGGAGTACGGGCAAGACGCACCGCGTCCCGCGTCAACAAACCATTCGAATGTCACGTTGTCGGCGTCTGTGTGAGTCTGCATACTCTTTTTTGCGTTGGAGTTGTCGATTCTACGTCCTCATCGCAATGTCTTACCACTTTAATCGCCTGAGCGAAATCATCAAGGCTCGTTACGCTGCTAAACTTTGCATAAATAATTTGACGTGCGGCGATGTATTTGCATGACCGCCGCAGAATGGACGTACAAAACCATGATGAGACTCTTCTAGCTATTTTCGGTCGCGACGACCCTCGTGGTGCAAAAGTGTAGAAGGTAGCTGCGATGATCGACGTCGATACTGAAAATCGGAAGCGGGAACAGACAAAGCGTAACAAGTAGGTGATGGCCACCGGTACCAATGATCAACATCTTGTATCTACTGCTTACACCGAGCCTACTTAAGTATTTTGAGGCCTGCAATTACTTCTTATTGCAATCACCGGGTCAAAGTTTGGTCTACGGGCCGCTTTTGTTTGAACGAGCAGACGACAAAAAACAGACAACTTTAAAAGAGCAGACGAAAGTTCGAACGATCAGGCGGCCGTGTGAATTTGAAGACGCACTGAATCCGTGGGTGGTCCGGACAACTTGGGGGTTTTCTCTCGGTCATGTTGGAACAAAGAAAATACATCTGGCGACTACAAATTGTGGCCCGCACACGCAATCGTAGTTTGACAGCGTCAGGTTTGCCCTTTTCACGGCTGCTATCGACGTTCTCGGACGAACGGAGGGTGCAAAAACACATGAAAACTGATCTTCAAACCTTCCCAGACTCTCTTTGTAAAGCCCCCATCGCAGCATTTTGACGAGAAGGCAGGTTTTTTGTCTCGTTTCTTCCAAAGGAACACAGGAATGCATGTCTGGCACGGCGACTTCTGCCCACCGTCCCAGACCGGAAGTGCGTCCGGCGCGCCACCACCGCGGCGTGACGTAGGATAGTTGAGTTGGTGTATAGAAGCGGCGCCGAACGCGACAGTGGCGCCTCTAGCGGACTCGAAGCTTACGGAAGCAGACGACGCAATGTAAAAGTATAAGCTCCGCGACGTCCTCGAGCTTTGCGAGCCCAGCTTCGTTACCCCAACAGCTGAAACAATTTTATTGCGGTGAGTTCGCTTGCAAACGGGAATCCACTGATCGCAACTGCAGCAGCAATCAAATAACAACGCGCGCATAAACAAAGATCGAGCAGTTTATTTTGCGGTCTGAAACGCCTCAAGGGATCACACGCGTTTGAAGCGCGTCTGGGAAGGGAAAAAAAAGGCGTTTAGCGACTCGAACTACGTCGTAAGAGGTTACTGTTGATCCATTACAAACTGAGTTGTCACAATTTCTTATCTGGAAATGTGATTATTAAAACGTGCGCAAACAACATGTTAACATCAGCAGAACAAGCGCACTAGCCCCAGCACCACAACTAAAACAAAAAGTAACGAGAAAAATGAGTGTGCAAACACTTTTCAAACTTTTCAGAAAAGATGGGGTATTCATCTCACACTAAAACAAAAGAAATTGGGAACAGTCGTGGACAACGGCAAATGAAACAAAATTAGCAGACAACACCAAGATACAAATCACCCAGCAAAGACCTTCTTTAACGACGACTATCGTGCGGAAAGCTGGTAGGAGCATTGAAGATGAGCCGGTGGTGGTCGCCGTCGGTGTTGGGTCCACAACAAACAAAGCGGAAGTGTACACGACGAAACTATTATAAAAAGCTTCACTTTTTATTTTGTTATAGTTGCACGTTACACGTTTGTTTATTTGATTTGGCGGCGTTGGTAGGAACTAACATCAAAACAGAGGAAAGGAATAACGTAGTCCAGCTCATACTGCCCTGTAAGTCGCACGCTGCAATCTGCTACGTCGGTTACAAGTTAAGATGGTAGGAGATGCTCCTCCCACAAGCGTGATGCGCCGGTTTCAAATCCCTCCGCAGTAGAAAGAAGAGTTCACTGGAAACGCCCCTTGTTCCGCTTTAATGGATATTGGCTACAGAGTGATGCCAACTTGTCTTCGACCCCCACTTTTTAAGAAGCGACCTTTGTATTCATCGGAGGGGGAACCGAAACCCTGAAAGCAGCCTTTGTATCCATCGGAGGGGGAAGCTAATCCCTGAAAGTCGTATTTGTTTCCATCGGAGGGGGAAAACTCTGATCTCCGCTTGGTGGCTTCCACATTGCTAAGTCTGGTTTGCTTTATCGAAAGATAAAGCAAATATGTACAGAAAGGCAAGACCTTCCTCGCGCGTTGGCCGCGACGTCACGTAAACGATGGGACGCTATTGGAGGTGGAGATGGCGGAGGGATATGCGATTCCTTTTGAGGGGCATTTGCCGCTACCTTCTTGACCTGTAACCTACTATAGCAGTGTGTGACCTTTTTTGCTTTCGCATTTCTATTCCCAGAGACTCTGGCAGGTTGTTTGCTTGCTCGCTTGACGAAGCAGTTCAAAAGTATATTCAAGTACTCGTTGACGTGCGTGTCCAGGCAGTCCTTGAACACCGTGCCTCTGTTTGGAGTGTCGATCAGCGGCTTCAAGTACACCTTCAGCTAAACTCTAGTTTGGTGCTATATATCAGTGAAATGTGTGTCGAAGGCACGGCTGACGTTACCGGCTAGGTGTCGAGCTAAGTCGTAAGGTGGTGTCATTTTCGCATGCGAGTATTTCTTGTTTTTCAGCAGAATGTTTTTCGAGGTGTTTCATGATTCTGATTGCAGTTGGACTTATCAAGCATGATGACAGATTTGACTAGCTGCCCACCCGGCTACATAGGACTGAGTGTTCAGTTGTGCATCTGGTCTGTCGTTCGTGTAGTTATCCGCCATCTCCATGGAGTTATCATAATCGTCTATTGAGGCGTTAGTGTCGACTTTGAAGCCATACTTGGATAACTCTTCCAGTTAAATTTTAAGTGACTTTATTATTCACGTT